AACTAGCTTTTCCCCGCGGCTTCGCTCCCAGAAATTAATATTCTTTCTCCATAAAACCTTTTAGCTCCCAATTCACCCTTACAACGTTTTAATTTTGTGTAATGTCGCCATCTTTCAAATACAAACGTAGCAACAACATTTCATCCTTAAGGGTTGATTTTTAAAAATTGCCAAAACACGTATTTGCTTAATTTCAGCAATGAGCATCCTTCGAGTAAATCCGAGTACAAATAAAATGTAGCCCATGGAAACGTTGCAACCTCTTTTCATTTGATTAATAATATCAAACAGCATATATACCAAGTTTCAAGTAAATTCAACCATAAATAAAGTATGTCCCAAACAAAAATTGCAACACCTTTCCCTTTTTTAAATTGTCGAGATAGATCTTTCAGAAATTAAATGAGAGACCATTAAAACAAAGTTTCAAGTAAATCTGATCACAAATAATATGTTCCATTTAAACATTGCAACTCCTCTTCACCACTCATCCCCCCCAACAGAGATTGAATTTTTTAATCAATTTCAAGTAAATCGAACCAAAAACAAACATGCAATCTTAACAAATGAAAGGCTAGACTGATGTTTTGACTGATAAATTTTTTGTTTTGCTGTCAATTTCGTTTTGTCATTCCATGTCAGTTGCGTTTACATATACCACATTTTTCTCGTGGAAAGTGATAAAAAGTATCCTATGTCCTTCTCCCGGTTGTAAGATACCTCCCCATCAATTTTCAGCCAAATCGGTTCAGCCGTTCTTGAGTTATAAGTGAAGTAACTAACACGACTTTCTTTTATATATATAGATTTACGTAAAAGATTCCTTTATTTTATCCCGAAGCAAAGATGACTTTCTGAGATTTCCATTTAATTTATTGATAACTCAAATAGATAACCGTTTACCAATTCCTATTATTTAAAGATACAGAATGTAGCTATTAAATGTAACTCGAAAATTTTCTACAAACTAAGTTATAAATTATTTTTACTACAATGTACTTTGTCATTTTCATTGAAATAATTAAGGGATGTTTTTTTCAATAGGTTCTATTTTCGGGATAGGTCCTACTTTCGGGGAAACACAGTATATATGGCAACCATGCAACGAACGTTTTATAATGTAATTCAAAAGAAAGTGTACAAGTCCCTGTGCAACTTCGTTAAAGAATTGAAAAACGATATTGTCTGTACCAATTACAGTAATTACCTTCCGTTGGTATTAAGCTGTAACAATTTGTTGTAAGTCAGTATAAAAGCGTCGTTTGTATAATGTTAGTTCTTGTTATCCGATGACATTACTATAAGCACATAAATAATTCCCGTCGTTGAATCTTATCAAAGCTACTCATTGGAATCCATTTCCTCAATTAATTCGATTAGTACTGACCGACCTCTTTTACAGGAGAAAAGCCGCACATCTGCGAGGTCTGCAACAAAGGTTTCTCGACTTCCAGTTCTTTGAATACACATCGTCGTATTCATTCCGGCCTGAAACCACATGCTTGCCAACAATGCGGAAAGAAGTTTACGGCCAGCTCGAACCTCTATTACCACAAAATGACGCATTCAAAGGTGATTTATGATCATTTTCCTTAATTAAGTTTCGCTCCAGAAACTGTACTGTGGTTCTAACTGAAGATATGTCGCCACTACAATAAAAATAAGATGCGCAAGATCGAGGCTATTGACGATAGACTTGAACTTGGTTTCACGGTTTCAGCCACGTGTTAGATGATGTTTTGAATTTAGAGAAGTAGGGTACAGTAGTAATAATATAAGAAACGAGGTAAGAGCCATTCTGATAAAAAATGAAGAAAAGGCAGACTGGTGGAAAGAATTCTTAGAGAACCTATACGCAGGCCCTGAGTTAGGAGATATGTTAGAGAAGGATTATAGTGGGGGTATAGATGAGTTAGGTTATCCCATAATGAGATAAGATTTCGATTTAGCATTAAAAAACTTAAAGAATAATAAGGCGCCAGGGGTAGCTGGGAAACAGGGGGAAATTCTAAAACATGCAGGACAAGAGGTTAGAGATCGTATGTTTAAGCTAGTTAGTCACATTTACGAGACGGGGAAAGTCCCGGAGGATTATAAACGGAACGTAGTAGTAACATTATCTAAAAAGAGACGCAGATAGGTACGAGACATTTAGAACAATTAGGTTAACTTCCCATGCATCAAAAATCTTAACTAGAATTGTACAGATGAGGATGGAAAAAGGGTGGAAGAACTATTAGGGGAAGATCAGTTTGGATTTAGAAGAAATAGAGGAACGCGGGAGGCCATTCTAGCTTTACAGGTAACTATAGAGAAAACGATAGAAAAAGGAAAGAGTGCGTATATATAGCATTTATAAATTTAGAAAAACGTTTTGACAATGTTAAATGGGACAAGATATTCAATATACTTAAAAATGTAGAGATGAGTTACAGAGACAGAAGAGTGCAAATCTCTGCAGATAGCGTTCATCATGCTGTCTTCACCCATTTATTGAATGTTGTTTTATGGTGCTGTCTATCGCTACATAAATACTGACCTAGAATATATTTTTAATAGCAAATACGCAGGTACTCATCAAAACCTACATCAACGCCTTATCTAAATTTGTAAACTTGTCCGAAAAAGACAGGGGATAAACAACTGAATAACAACTTTAAAAGCAGATACCCCATAAGTGAAGGGTTAAAATTAAAGGCCCTAAAAGACATCCAATTTATGGATAAGTTAAAATAAGAAGGATTGGAGTACACTTTTACTCAGAAAGGGTTTAAGAAGTAGTTTCGAAAATATCATCATTTTTGTGTTTGAGTAATCAATCTACATCAAAACATTATTTTTTTTTAACAGGATGAGAGGCTTGTGAAATACAAACATATAACAAGAACCCATCAAATTGATGTATTATAATACGAATAGAAAAACACAAAAGAAATTTGATACACAGACTTAACTGCTCCTTTCAGTTGCATACAGCAGAACGAGGGCGCTATGGAAGCAATGCATTGAATTATAATTCCTTTCTTTGATGTCAGGTTGGGTGTCAAAAGAAAATTAACAAAATAGATATATACATACTTGCGTACTTTCATACTCTAATAAAAATTAAAATATTAACCGAAACTAAATATATCGCCTGTTCTAGTTCAGATTATTATCACATTACTAAGTATACGAGGGTGGATTGATAAGTTTCCGGCCTAACCAAGAGATGACGCCACTAGGCCTACCTTGAGGTGACATTCTATAGTACCATCCTTGGATAGCTTGTAGCTATAGTTTCAGCCCGATCTCCTTGCTAGTGTAGGTTTGACAGCACGCTGAACAAGACGCCTCTGTGGTTTTCGTAAAAATGGAAAAGCAGGAAAATCGTGCTGTCATCAAATACTTTTATTTGAAGGGGTTAACGCCGAAGGAAATTAAAAAAGAGATGGACTCAACACTGGGGACATCCTCCCCGTCATATTCAACCGTTAAGCAGTGGGTTTCCGAGTTTAAAAAGGGTCGTGTGAGCACCTCTGATGGGCCTCGCTCAGGACGCCCCGTTGAGGTCACAACTCCAGATATGATCGAAAAAATTCATCAAATAGTGCTGGGAGACCGCAGATTGAAAGTGCGTGAGATAGCTGAGACCTGTAAGATGTCATATGAACGTGTGCAACATATTTTGCACCAACATTTGCATATGGAAAAGCTCTGTGCAAGATGGGTGCCGCGTTTGCTAACAGTCGACCAAAAATTGATTCGAAAAAACATTTCTACCGCAAATTTGTCATTGTATAAGCGTAATCCAAGCGAATTTTTGCGTCGATTCGTAACCGTTGACGAAACGTGGGTCCACCACTACACTCCTGAAACCAAAGAACAGTCTAAACAGTGGATTGGACCAGGGGAACCAACTCCAAAGAAGGCAAAAACAATTTTTTCGGCGAACAAGGTTATGGCTACTGTTTTTTGGGATGCAAGAGGTATTATATACATTGATTACCTTGCAAAGGGTAATACTATCACTGGTCAATACTACGCAGACTTATTGCAACGTTTGAGCCACGAGGTGAAAATTAAACGACCTCATCTGGCGAAGAAAAAAATCTTGTTTCATCACGATAACGCACCAGCGCACACGTCAATCGTTGCGACGGCTAAAATCAACGATCTAAAGTTTGAATTGATGCCGCACCCTCCTTACTCTCCAGACCTAGCCCCGAGTGACTATTTTCTGTTCCCTAATCTCAAAAAATGGCTTGGCGGTAAGAGATTTGCGGACAATGAAGAAGTAATCGAAGCTGTAAATGGTTATTTTGAGGAGCTTGACGAATCAGTCTATAGAGATGGCATTAATAGACTGGAACACCGCTATGAGAAATGTATCAGCCTTGGAGGAGATTATGTTGAGAAATAAAAAAAAAAAATTTTTAAAAACCTTGTTTTTCTTGGTCAGGCCGGAAACTTATCAATCCACCCTCGTATATCAGGGTGAATATGGAAACTAACATTAATCGAAATAATTTTGTATTGTAGTTATCACTAAATTTCAGAAATGTCTGGGGATGAACCTGATCACTAATACTGTGAATATTATTATTTCCATCTACGAAAAACGAATTTTCCACTCAAAAACTTATCTTAATAAAACCTTAACACTCAAAGGCAAAACGTTGGCGTCGGGTCATATAATAAACACTTTTTTACCTCTTTACTATGACTACAGTTCCAAGTGCAAAAAATAAATAAGATACGTATATTCTCACAGATAATTTATTGCGACCTATGCCAATTTGATCGTCCCAATTTTACACGAATATTTGGGTATGCAGAAGTTGTGCGCAAGATAAATGCCGGGTTTGCTCGCACTTCAGCAAAAATTACGTGGAAAGGAGATCTCAGCAGGCAATTTGAGGTTGTTTAATTTTAATCAAGCGGAACTTTTGCGTCGATTTATAATTACAGACGAGACTCCAAAGAACAGTGTGGGCAGCGGATTGAAAAGAGTCAGCCGGCACCAAAGGAAGCAAAAGTGTATTCAACAAAGTTGAAATTTTTTGGGACACGTGAGGAGTAATTTTCATTGACTATCTTGAAAAAGGTAAAACTATAAACGAAGAGTACCTACTATGCACGCATTTGGTAAAAAAGAAAGTGTTCTTTCACCAGGACATAGCACCAGCCCACACCTCGATGATTGCGATGTCAAAAATCCACGATTTACGCTTTCAATTACTCCTCCATCCACTTCATTTAACAGATTTGGTCCCTTCCGACTATTACCTGTTCTCCAATCATAGAAAATGACTCGAAGGACAGAGATCTTCAAGTAGCAACGAAGTGATTGCAACTGTGGATGGATATGTCGAAAACCTCGACGTACGTTCATATGCTGCCGGTATGAAGAAATTTTCAAAGCCAAATGGTAACAAGTTTGAAAACTGTTTTTGTAAAAATACGCTCTTTTCATTGAGAGATCCAGAACTTTTCAAACGACCTTCCTGCTTGCTTATGAAAAGGTTTCTAAACAATGAAAGTACTAGAAGCACATAATAGCACTAAAGCTGTACCTAAGTCTGCTTCAGCGGTTGCTTTACATCTATTACCTCACTGTTACCGTTTTCCATGTAAAATATCGTATAAAGTTATTAAAAAGGGATTTATAGGATTCTCGTTCTAACTTAAAATTAGTTCAAGGCTTCAAAATGCCACTTGACTGAATTATAACCAATTGAAGATTTTTATAGTTATTTTCGTCTCAGCACTCAAACAAACCGGGCCATACAAAAACAAACGTACCAACACACATTTCTCTGAAGAAAAATAATTATATGCAAGTTTAAATTAAGTACACAATAATAAAATGTCAAGGTTTTCTCTGCGAAATAGGCGGTTTTCAAATTTTTAAACAAAACCATTTAGATGACTTTAATTGGACGATAGAAGTCTAAATTGCCTCTTTATCTTCTATGTAAACAACATTCTGAATCACGTATATTTAAATAAAAAGATATATTTACTGTTTATACTTTTTCAACTGAATTACAAATGAGTTTAGTAAATACAAATGAATCGAAATGAACAATATTTCGCTTGCCTCTTTTACTAATTCCTGATGTAATCATGTAATATAATGCAAACTACTAAAATAAATAAATACATTCATAAGTTATATATATTAGGACTCACAAATCAATCTCACGTTGATAATTTCTTATAAAGTATTCGAAAAACGTGTAGAGGTTTTCCTTTCGAATATCGAAATCAATTTGTAAGGAAAAGCACTTTTTTGATGGCTCTTCCGGTGTACTGCTGTACCACATTAAAATGAATCAACTCCTTTAACTGGTTTAAAGAATTTAATTCACTTAAAAAATACGGATATATACAAATAAATACAAAACTTAAACTACCGTGGAAACTTATGATGAAATAAAAACTAACTAAATAAAATAGATAAGATTGAATATTTTGAATGTTTAAGACAGCGACTTTTGTAATGAATAAGAATGATGTTGATGTTGTGAAAAGCTTGTGAAGACTCTTCTTTGGTTACTGAAAATACGAATATAAATACAATTGAGGTACATAGATCGGACTATTTACTAATAATACAATGTTGCCGGCAAGTCATTCCTAGAAATTTGGAAATACCAGATGAAAGGTACAAACTGGCAGGGTTGTAAAATGACTCTAGTGGCTTAACATGACCATGAATAACTTAAAATTAATATTGTCAAAATAGACTAAAATTATAAAAGTTTTATGATTATTTCAATAACTATTCGTTTCTGAAAAAACGAACACAATTAATTATCAGGATGGAAAGTTAAATAAAAGAAAACTATCACGAATTGCTTAACATATTCGGAGATATTTTGGATAACTCTTGAGTCCTCAATCATTTTTTTTTCTGACACAATTTTTTGGGATATCCTTTATAAAGATAAACGCCATGAACAATGAAATACATTAATTATCTGAGCGGCGTTTACCTCATTTCACCTTGATTAACGTGATGATTTCTACCTTATGGTTCCCTTGGAAGAGGAATGAGGTACATTCCATCAGCGCACGACGGCCGAAGCCAACGCAATCAGCTTCATCCAGGAAGTTAGCAAAATGTTGAGGATTAAATCAAGAAGATCTCCGCCTGTCATAAATCTTGACCAGAATCTCTACCGCACATCTTTACTAAAGCTCAGGTCTTTTCCAACGTTCAGTAGAATTAGTTTTTCTAATCGGAAGCAATGAAGTAACATTACTCTTGCATGAGGGCTGAAAAAGGAATAGTTAGAGTCCAGTAAAAATAATGGCAACGTCTAGCAGAATATGCAAATTTTTCAAATTATACGGTAACACGTTCAGATACCTCCTTATATAAAGGCTTCTCAGTAAGTACACAGCTCACTAGGAACAGGGACTAGGTACAGAGGATATTAGTGCCCTATTTATTTTAAAATTGTACCAACGAGAAAGTACTCAAAAATTTACGGAAACGTAGGCCATGACTCCCGAAGGTTGGACAAGTGAAATTGAACAAAAGGAATGGCGATCAGAGATGAAATAGATAAAAATTTTCGAAAAAACATAAAATATCTTGCTTTTCGACAAAAGTTGTAGGCTTTCGAAGAGGAAATTAATTGTCAATATTCCGGATGATGCTGAAATCTTGCAGCGGCGGGAAGTACCAAGAATTTTTCGTTCAAATATTGAATGTAACCTTTCAAAATTGTCGGTCAACTTGCTTTGACGAGTGGAAAAATTCAGGAGCATTCAAATAATTAACACAACAGTGCCACATTAGCAAAAATAAAACATTATATTTATGTAATATCATAAACTCGATGTTCTGTCAGTCAGGAGTGTCACACTTTATATTACTATTGACAATATTTTTTTAGGTAAAGCCGCATAAATGCATGTTATGCCCGAAATCATTTCCTACTCCTGGAGATTTGAAATCTCACATGTACATCCATAATGGTTCTTGGCCCTTCAAGTGTGACATCTGTCTAAGAGGATTCAGCAAAGCTACAAATTTACGAAATCATCTTGTTGTACATACAGGTAATCAGATATTAAAGATTAACATTCAGCATGCGTTCAGATGAAGGCAAAAAAATATTTTAGCAGAGGTTATAAGCATTTGTATATGATATTAAGAAGTATGTTAAAATGTATTGATAAATCATGTGTTACCAAAAGGATTGTTTTAAGATGCGTATGCTTCAGTATACGGAATTTAATTAAACGATCAAATTCAAAGTGAAAACTAAATTTATATTTCAATATCCAATCCTATAACTTTTGTGCTATATGTTTATCGTAAAAATTCAATTCTGTAAAGTTTTCGACTTTAACATTATGTTCACAAGGACCGTATTAGTTTAAATCACTTCCTTCGAGAGTTGACGAGGACTAAGGGGATCATCTTGGAACAGGACTTTAATCGGTGTATCGTGCAATTGCATATATCTATTATATGCAGATTTTCCGATATGTCAGTGGTGATTAAATCAGCCAGAACTCCCTTACTGACGCATTTGTTCGATCAGTTTGGGGTAGACGCGAAGGTGTAGTGCATTGTATTGATGCTATTGAGCAGGTTGATTACTCTACTCTTATTTTGTGTGCCCGTGATTGGATCCTGACTCCATCCTTGGCTCTAGAGAACTCAACATGGGGAGGTTTAAGGGTTTTGCAGGTATCGGGCGGAGGTACGTGTTGGTCCATAATTTTCGTATGTAGTCCTTTGGGATAGTTCTTAGTCTGTGATGGATTTGGATGAGTTGAGTAGTTGTTGAAGGAAGGCTCTCTTCAGCCTTCTATGAGAAATCGTTAGAGTGGGTAGATAGTGAATGGGGTGAGAAATATGACACTCACGAAATGAAGACAGAGCAAATTTATGGAGAGAAACTTGGACCAGAGTATACAAATCCGGAATCGAACTGGTCTTCTCCCAAATGTCGAACAATAATCAAAACCTCTAGACCATGTCACTTGGTCGCACACACTAGATGTAGTGATGTTATTTATAGGTGAAGTAGGTTCCATATGATTGCTTATTACTTCATCCAGTCTTATTCACCTTCATGGTTTCCTCTCATTTTTTGAAGCTGTTGGAGTTTGGAGTACTTCAGTATTTCAATGGCCTTTCGAACATGGTAATTTAGCGTAAAAGCGGATAACGCCTTTCTGGCATGATCTGCTACTGTGGACTTGTCGGGTTTTCGAAGACTGCAGTGGCGTTCATGCTTTTTCATGTTTCTTTGTACCTATGCTGCTAACAACTGCATGAGATACGGTGTATTCTCAACAATACGAAGGATTGTCTGGGATTATTTGTTTATTTAAGTGTTGTTGGATTTGCTTGACTGGAATGAATATACTTTTGATGTTTTTTTTTCTTCTCACAATTTGACCAATTCTATCCACATAAAATTTCACTTAATCATATTTATAAAACGCTTCAACAAGAGTTTTCGATTAGGTAATTATTTTATTAATTCTGTTCAATGCCTTCCATGTCAGGGAGGAAAACTTTAGCTACCGTTGAATTTTCGAAACGTCAGATATAAGTCTCTATCGGTGAGAACACCGAAGGAGAAACAAAATACTAGACTACAATCGTCAAGCCTAAAAATCTAGCATTATTCATTATTACGGTAAGATATTCGGATAATAGGAGAGATTACATTTCTGAGCAGGCGGACAACCCACTAGGAACAGGTCGTAGATCAAGAAGGTGAAAGTGTCACAAAAATTTATTATTAATTANAAGAACAACGCAAATTACGCTAAATATTTATTATATTTTGATTGGTTGTATCTTGTTTTCTTAGTTTAAAATTACCTATTAATTCGAAAATTAATTCTTAATTTCTCTTCTTCTATAAGCTACTTTAAATTAATGAGAAAAATGTTTGTTGCTACTGTCACACCTTCGCCGGGAATCGAACCCAAGACATTTGACTTGACGCACCAATGCTCTGACCACTAAGCTTACAGCCAATGGTCCCGGGTTCAATTCCCGGCGAGGGTGTGACATTACCAACAAAAATTTTTCTCATTAATTTCAGGTAACTTGTAGTGGAAAATGAATTTTAGAATTATTATTTAATATTAACCACTAGGAATTTCAATATGTTTAAAATTATTAGGAAGTTATTTAAAAACTTTTTTCTTTCTTATAAATAGAGCTATTATTATCTAATTAACTTAATACACACAAGTACGTGTCGTTCATTTTGGTAATAAAATATTCAACTGTATATTCAAGTGCTATTAATCGTACATACTTCGTAGTAACGTAGTAATGTAGCATCACGTTTGTATACTTGATATTTACCGTGTACAACTGAAAGTCATTTATTTTAATAATGTATTTATCTTCCATTGTTAGGTTTGAGACAGCACCGTTGCGGTATTTGCGAAAAGCGATTCGCTCTTCTCTGCAACTTGAAGGCTCACATCAAAATTCATGTCTCAGACTATCCATCAGCTACTGAAGATCGCGATCAGTCCAGAAGCGAATGTCATCGTCAGGAAAAGCACAATATACGAAGTATTCTCGACACTTTTCAAGCCGACTGTATTTTTAATTATCAAATACTACAACAAGTTTTGTATCAAAATTCTACCCCATTTACTTCATACCCGGCACTTGGTGATTATGGAACATTCCGGATTTTATAAAAAAAGTATATTAATTAACTGTTCAAAGAATCAAAAATTATTCTATTGTTAACTGATATCAAAATTGTGATGGGGATATTTGAATGTAAATTAGCACCTCCAATACATTCGATTCTCATCAAAGGTTAATCTTGTATTTTATCATAGATTTTTCGATTGATTCGAATACAGCCGCTCTCGAATGCAAAACGTTTTAAAAAAGAAAGTTTTAGTGTAGTATTATTTTTGACCTTATATAGTACTTTGGGTTAGAGAACAGAAAACTGAGTTTTACCGACAAAAATTTTGATGGAAAATGTTTTTTCGCAAAAAAAACTGTAAAAATGGAATGCTGGTTTTTCTTAAATAACTCAAAAATTATGCGTTTAGCGTGAAAATTCATTCTAATTAAAATTAAAGGTGACAATTTTTTCTACAGTTTATTTATTTGCAGTTTCTTTCTGCGATTCGCTGTTTAACTTTAAGGGCGCCACGAATGTAGACGTCAAAAACCAACTTCTCACTAAAATTGAAGATTTATGGAATTACTATCTTTCTTATATAATAATTAACGGTGCATGTTACTTCACATAGTGACTACATTTAACGTATATTAATTATTAATATACACACAATGCAGTTATTATGTACAGGTATCTATTATAGTCATTACATACGTAAGCAGTGAGCGTGAGATCTAGTATTAAATACAAATACTGAAATAAACATAAAAATAGTTTTAGATATTTCATTCCCATATTACTAATACTGGTAGGTGGGCAGTCCTTTGGACTACCGAAAGGTAAGGCGGAAAAAATGGGTGGTGGTTAGGTTGAGAAAGATGAGACCGACGAAATAAAGACAGAAGAAAGTGAAAGATTATCTACGGAATATTACTGCCCCAGCATTTGCCTACGTGATCCAAGGAAACCACAGAGAAACCTGGACCAGGACAGACGGATCTGGAATCGACGAATTAATGGGGAATCGCTTTTCCTAATGCGGTATATCATGTATGTTTCTGTTACCTATTAAATATATTTTGGGCTTTTAGTGGAATGATTAATATTTTATCAACTTCATTGCCCTAATAAGAATCGCTTCATTCTTTTGAAGATACTGGTTGAAGTTCATCCACGTCTCCCATGCAAGATTAAATGTAAAAAATTAGTGTCCACTATTAAATACAATTAGGTTGTCTATAATTGTAATTAATAAAAGTACTGGTATTCAACTTCAAGCATTTCATCGTCCTCATCCTCTGGTACAACGGGCAGGAAGTCAGTCTGTAGTTCAACGTTTTCTTCGTCCTCGTCCTCGTCTACCACTGCGAAATTGCTGCAAGTTCCTTCATAGTTGAGGTACAAATTCTAGCAGAAGAGCCCCACCTTGTTGCACGCATATTCCACTCATAGAGCACTTTAGGTCACCAACTTTAATAACGCAGGAAGAGCAGAGATTAGGAGCGTGGCAACAGTCTCAAAACCTGATTTCATGCGCTCCCATTCCCAGTCTTCAGGGTTTTTTCCAACTGGACTTTGAGAGAATGCTGACGAGTAGCGCTGTAGATGGCGATAAAGCAGCTATATTGGAACTGAACTTGAACATTTTCCAACAGTAGCCGTACAGGGATACAAGGAGCAGCTACTGATACATTTGGAGTAAATTTTCTGGTTTGAGAAGCTTACTTTCGTGACGTTTTCGTGATTAAACTTTAAACATATAAAATTTAGAAAAATTTGTAATTTCAAATTAACTTTCACGTAAAACGCACAGTTTCTGAGTTCAAGAAAAATCAGAGAAACCGCTCCTTAATGGTTTTTTGTAAAGGAAACATTTCCCATCAAAATTTTTGTTGGCAAACCTGAGATTCGTGTCCACCAGCCGAAAATACTATCAAAAAACAAAACATTCTTTTTTCGACCTTTTTACGACTAAGGCAGAGCCTTTATTAGTGAATTGCCGTGAATGTGGTTTAGTAGTCTTTGATGCTAAATATGTACCTATGTTTATTTTTAAAATATAGGTATAAATAAATTTCGGTATGAATATGCAAAATACATAATATATTATATTTTATTAAATTGATCTGTAAGGAAAGCAAAACTATTGAGGTGCGACGTAGGAAATTCGAAAATTTATTGGATTTATAATTTTTCCCATCACTACTCCAAATGATAGCTTCATATGCCGTATTTTAAACGAATTCTAATAAAAGTGTTATTAATTCGTCTGTAAAATAGCAATCAACATCGGTTGTTTAAAATAATCCTGAATATGCATACCCACGTAATGTTTATCATTTTTATGGAATTAGCTAATAAAATGAAAACATCAATTGTTGTAACACTGTTTGGAATTAAATCAGGTAGTATCATAAAAGCGTTCCTAGGTAATTAATAATATTGTAATGTTGTTAACTTATAAACTTAGATAAACAATAGTTAGTGGGCACATCTGCATTTTATTGTAATATTGTTAAATTGAGCTAAAAGAATTAATTTATATGTTATTTCAACAAATACTTAAGTTAAAACTAATTTATTAGTCGTAGGTATATAGGTAATATATTCTTGCTTTTACCGTTAAATAAAATTTTACTTCAAGAACAACGCAAATTACGCATTTATTGATTAATATTATAAACGTACCTACCATGTCATTCAACCTTTCCTGTATTAAAAATGAAAATTATCCCGGTGTTACAAATTAGAATATATTTACTCTTTCATTAGTCCTCTATAAGATTTTTGACCTATATATCCTAAATGAACCCTAAAGAATAAAAATCTACCATCATCATCATCATCATTATCATAGGGTCATCAGTCCTAAGACTAGTTGGACATACATCTATCCTGAGCTTATCTTCGCATTTCCCTAAAACAAGAACATCCCACATCCTCAACTATTTGTGAACAGTAATCTTATCTAGGTCTACCTCTACTCCTCTTAACTCCTGTTTCTGCTTGATATATATATCTAGCTCTTCATGCTTGAGAAGGTGTCCTATTAACCTATCTTGCCTATTTGTTATTGATTTTAAGTCCTCCGTTCCGACTGATCTGACTTCCTAGATACCTAAAATCAGCTACTTTTAATTTTTCGTCTCCTATCTTTATAATCGCCTGTTCTCTACTTGATCTTCCCTTGCATACGAGAATTTTTGTTCTAATTTTATTTATGTTCGTATGATATTGTTTTGTCAATACCTCTCCCATTTTATTTAAGGCTATCTCTAATTCCTTGCTAGATGCTAATACAACTATATTATTTACAAATCTAAGCATACCAGTCTTTTGACCCTGTATATCGATCCTTATAGTTGCACTGTCTTTAATGTTGATAATCGCGTCTTCGATGCATAGATTAAAAAGTAGTTCTGACAGTGAGCATCATTGTCTAATTCCCTCCCTAATATTTACTGCTCTACGTTGCTGCTCAAGGTCTATAACTGCCTGTTGCTCTTTATACAAACTAGGTATCACTCTTCTATCTCTGTATTTCATCGCTATATTTTTAAATATCTTGTCCCGTTTAACATTGTCAAAAGCTGAAAAAATCCAAACATTTAAAAAATGTTTTCGCTGCTAAAAATGTATTATTTCGTAATCACATCTGATTCATTTATTAGCTATAAATGAATTCAAACTAAATGTTTTTTTTTTCTAATAAATGAACTTCATCATGTCATATAAATATCTCTCATCGCTATAAATAATTGAGTTTGAGTATTGAGTCAGGGTGATTCAAAACATATGTGGATTTTCATATAAACGTTCTGAGGAAATTAAAATTAAAATTTGTTGAAGATAACTATTCGCTCCCCTATTGAGAGGATGACGTGTTTCAATAACTCAATTTACTTTCTTTTCCAAATTTTGTCGAGCTCTAGCGGTCAACCTAGGCGTTGGTCCGTAAATTTTACTAGCTGTATGAGAATGTATTCGAAAGAATATTGTTGTAATTCTTTAATATGCATTACTCTACCAGCAACGTTTTCGTAAATGTTATCGAACGAGCAACAGGAACGAAAACATAAACGAATGCTAGCGCATAACGACGTTTGTGAATGCATTCCCTGACTTAAACCTTACATGTATGCTATGATTATAGTACTTCTTCGGAGCGGAATCGTATGACACCCAAATAATTGTGACAAAATCGTACCATACTTTTGACTGTATAATATACAGAACTGCTACTTTTCAATAGGGCCTGTAGAATATTTGCAAGAGGTAAGTCAAATGTCTTGAGTAAAAGCTTAAGGTCAAAATCTGGAAATAACAATCAGTTCGAATCAGATTGTTAAAATAATTTGGGACGTTTTTGGTGACGTAAAATTGACAAATTCTTAGACATATGTATATCTAGAAGAAATATATGTACAATAATAATAATAACAAAGAATGTGTTTGGCTAAATGTAAAACTTCATAAAACGCATAAATACATTATTTTGAACTGGAATGAAAGTTCAAAATTGACTTGGTTTCTTTTTATTTTCGCTTAAGGTGTAGTGCCTGTCTAAGAAAATGAATAATATCAAGCACACCTTTAGAAACGTACGAAAAACCGTAACAATTAGTAAATGGTAATTAGTAAATAATGCACTTTTAATAGCACGTGTAATACAGAAATACGCAGTTCAGTGAAGATTTTTCAATTATTATTAAAACTTAAATCAAGCAGTTATAAAATATTAGTACTAAAACTATTTTTAGTTTAACTAAAAATAAAAGATGAAAAATTTTCATAACTTTAAATTTTAATGAACTGAACGAATGAAAAACGTATGTGTATCTTCTATTTCTTAAGAAAAACAAATGGGTGTAGCTATAATAATACGTGCTGTTTATCGGTTCTGTGAATTAAAAATACAATTAGATCATCAGTAGGATTTGGCGCCAGACAAAACTAGCCCAGTTTCATTCAATGATTTGATTATAATAATAGGTTTAGCGGTGAACGTTTAAAAACTGGACGCCTCGTGTGGTCTTATTATTATTGTATAGCGGTATAGACCAATAGGCTCACCATTATAAATAATAGGTTACGTCTTACAAAAATGATTTAAAAAATCTACGTCTCCATTTTTCTGGAGATAAAATACTTAA